TTAAATATAAATTTTAAAATAATATCTATTATCCCCTTAAATTTTCTTTTTAAATTTCTTTTTAGAATTTTTAGAAAATTTTTAAAATAATCTTTTATAAAATAGACTAGTATTAGTATGTGAGGTTTTTAATTAAAATTTATTTTATTAATTTAGATTTTTAATTAATCTAATATTGAAATTTTTAATTTATTTTTTAAAATAATTTGCTAATTATCTACTAATATGTATTATAATATGTATTTTACTCATTTTTAAAATTAAATTTCATACATTTTTAAGAATTAACTTTATATAAGCTAAATAATTTAACATTTTAAAATTTTTATAAAATAATATATGTAATATTATAATTACCTCTTGATTAATGATAATTTGTTTAATGATATATAACATATTTTATTTAATTTCAATAAATTAAATTTATTCTATAATACTTTAAAAATGGGCAATAAGTCAAGAAATTCAAGAAAGATTTTTGGAAAAAGGACATTAAATTTATATTTCTAAAAACTCAAAAATTTAAATGATCAAACTAATGATTTTAGACTTCATTTCAATATTAAGTTTTTAAGTTCTAATAACAAAATGCCTAATTTAAATTTATAAATCTAGTTTAATATTTACAAATAAACATTAAAATTTAATATTTACAATTAAATATTAAAATGCTTTCTTATTCTTGAAACAAGCTGGATGGCTGTAGTTTGTAACAACTGTCACACTATTTTACACTTCTCTAACCCATCCAGATGTATTATACTTTATATTTTATTTTTTGTAAAACAAAAAATTAATATTTTTCCAATTTATTTTTTCAAAAATTTCTAAAAGTATTTTAAAATTTAAATAAATTTCTAAAAATTTCTAAAATTCTTGTTAAAGGATCAAGGATAATTACTTACTTCAGATTTTAATTCATTTAATTGTTTATAAAAACGTAAAAAATATAAAAATTGTAATTATTTAGTATTTTTCATTATCCTCAATATGATATTTAAAATTTTTCTGATTTTGCATGTGATAACTACTAGCAAATTTAAACTTATGTATAAGAATATTTGACTGAATGCAAATAAATATCTAACATGATCTAACATGCTAATATGAATAAATAACAAAATAGTTATCACATAAATTTAGAATTCATAACAAGAATACCATTTCAGTGAACAAAAATTTTTTTAATATTGATTAAACATTTGATGATAAGAAGAGAAAGAAATTCTCCACCTTCAGCTTTTATCAAATGGAAACTAAATGATCTTCCAAAAAATTGTGATATTATTGCCTTATCACATTTTTAAGACAGATTTGGCATAGTTATAACTTTTAAGGTTATTGGTTAACAACACCAGAAAATATGAAAAAGGAAATAAAATGTATGAAATAAAAATTAAATCGAAGAAAAAATTATCATATTTCGAGATGCCTTCAACTTGATGCCAATGTCACTAGCTCATTAGTTCCAGCATTAGGTCTTAAAGTTGAGTTGATAAGAGCAGCATTTAATAAAGAACAAATTATAATTTTGATTTCACAAAAATTTTAATAGAAATTGTAAAGTGATAACAATTTTTAAAAATGTAAAATTGTTAAAAACAAATTAAAATAAGATGCCGCTAGAAGTTTTAACTGTTCTCAGTGTATAAAAAATCATCATAAAATATAGTTCTATTAATAAATGAACATATTACTACTATAACATCCCTTTCTTTTTATTGATTGATTATCGCCCCGCCCCTGAAGAGACGGGCAGAGAAAATAAGGATGACGTAATTCAATACATTTTGCCACTTGACAAAATGCCACCCGACAAAACGCCACCCGACAAAACGCCACGCGACAAAACGCCACGCGACAAAACGCCATGCGACAAAATGCCACGCGACAAAACGCCACACGACAAAATGCAACGGGACAAAACGCCAACAAGTCAAAAGGCCATTATTAAAAACGAAATTAATAAAATTAATTTCCCGGTGGCCGGGTCGATCCTGTGCCCTCCTGCCTAAAGGCAAGCACACTACCGACCCGGCCACCGGGTAGCTGAACGAATTTAAATTATAATTTAACTTAAGCTGATTACCCACCCCCCACAGACAGAGAAAAGGTAGAGCAGAGACAACAAACAAACAAAAAACTCTACTCTCCTTTCTGTTGTAAAATCTTTTCTCTTTTCTGCTAAAAAACTTTCTCTCGCTTCTGCAGTAATTCTTTTCTTTCTCTGCTGTAGAGTTAGAGCAGAGACAACAAACAAACAAAGCTTCTCTCCTTTCTGCTACTATAAGCCACTACTTTCGCTTTTCTATTTTCAACAGTTTTTTTGCGCGGGTGCCCGTCAATCGATCCTTCCTGTGACTTTCTTTCCTATTTTCAACAGCTTTTTGCCTGTGTGCCCATCAACGGATCATTCCTTTAAATTTCGCAACAAATGGTAGCTTCGGCCAGCTTTGGTGTTAATAGGTCGGATTTTTTAGTTATATGAATTTTAATCGTGATATATAGCTCTTATCTGGCAAATTCCGTTGAGGTACAAATAAAAATGGCTCAGGGAGCAAAGCTGGGCGACGGAGGTTTTGTTTTTCTTTGTAAAATCAAATTGTTTTTTTTTCAAATTTCAGGTGAAATTCCTGGTTACAAAGTAAAGAGAGAAATTGCCGCTACAAGAAAATCAACTCATGGAGGTTTGTTTAGTTTAGCAGTTTATAAATTATAACGGGAAAACCTTAAAAATCGCATTCCCGGGATCCCGGAACGGGATTGTGTTTCAAAATTCGACCGGGACAGGATCCCACATGATTAATCCAGTAATCCCGTTTGTCGCCAAAAACCCGTTGATTCCGGGACGGGATCCCGAAAATCCCGTATGGGGTCCCGTTCCGTGCCGGTCTCTAATTTAAACTATCTTTTAAGTTAGACTCATCTCTCCTCTTTATCATGGCATTTACATTTTTGATGATCTCGCACAAGTTAAATTTTGATTTTTAGAAATTTTTGATATTTTTTAGTTAATTTATGACTTGGGATGGCGTTCATATGTAATTAATATTGTTTATCAAGCAAGACATGGGCAGAGAGGTTTGGTGGCAGCTTTAGACAGAATATGCAAGTATTTTTTTAGCAGTTTGATCCTTTTTAGGAATTTTATTTTTAGTGAGACTTGTTCCGCAGCTCTAGACGGTTATCAAATTTTAATTCTTTCTGATAGACAAGTTGACAAAGATTACATTCCAATTAGGTAATTTGTATTTTTAAAGAAAAAGGACTGAAAATTATTCTATATTTCAGTGCGCTTCTGGCTACTGGGGCCGTCCACATATGTTTAATAAAACAACGACTTTGTATGAAAGTTGCATTAATTATCGAGGTAGAATTTTTTAATTTTATTATTACTGAAATAAATTATTACATATTTAAGTCTGGTCAAATAAAACAAGTTCACGGTGAGTTTAATAATTACGTATTTTTATGAATCATTTAAATTTTATTTAGATTTTTGTGTTCTTCTTGGATACGGTGCTGATGCAATTTGTCCCTGTATGGTATATGAGACTTGTTATCGACTTAGAACAATGGGACTTTTGGATAAAAATGTGACAGACGATGATGTTGTACAAGGATATAAAGCAGGAATTGAACGAGGAATTTATAAAGTGGTGGCAAAAATTGGAATTAGTACTTTACATTCTTATAAGGTTGTATAAGTTTTTCTTTTTTTTTAACATGTTTTCTAGGGTGCACAAATTTTTGAAATTGTTGGACAGGGTCGAGAAGTAGTTGACAAATACTTTACTAATTCAGTGTCTCGGCTTGGCGGTGCTGATTTTGAAATTTTGGCGATGGAGGCAATTCGAAGCCATCGGGTCGCCTATCCAAATGTTCCAAATAGTGATTTATACCTTTATGGTTTGCTTAAAATTCATTTCAGCTAATATTACAAAAATTTTCTGTTCAGGTGATAGCAAGGTTTTAGTAAGTCCTGGAATCTATCATTGGCGCGATGGTGGAGAAAAACATGTCAATGACCCGGTTAACATAGCAAAACTTCAGGTTATAAATTCTAAAGAAATCTTAGATTTTACTTTTAAAGGCTGTTGATCGTTTAAATGATGCCAAGAGTTATCAAGATTTTGCGATAGCTTCAAATCTTGCTCAACGTCTTTGCAGCCTTCGTGGTCAACTGGAAATTAAAACAAACACTAAACTTCAAATTCCATTGGATCAAGTTGAACCGGCATCAGAAATTGTGAAAAGATTTGTCACTGGAGCAATGTCTTTCGGGTTCTTTTTATTTTTGATTTAATTTGGTGTTAACATTGCGTTAAAGTAATAAGAGATTAATTCACTTTTTTCCATGTAACTGTTTTCAAATGTCTCAAACCATTTTAAAAGTGTTTGTTTAGGGTTATAAGTATGGAAGCTTATACATCATTAGTGATTGCTATGAATAAGATCGGTGCAAAATCCAACAAAGGAGAAGGTGGTGAGAGACCTGAACGTTATCGGAAGGATCAATCCAAAGACAATAATATTAGGTCAGCAATCAAACAAGTGAGTCTCAAAGAAAGAATAATAGGCAATATAAACCGTTGTTTTGGGGCCCGGCCTAGCTACGAGGTATTTGAATAATTAATAAAATTTATAAATATTTTTAAAGATTTCTATTCGTTATGGAGAAGAAGGGTTGCCTGAGAGGCATTCATTGGAAATTAATTTAAAAGGATCCGCTGGACAAAGTTTTTGTGCTTTTTTGGCAAAAGTATTCACTGTCAGATTGGACGGTGAGGCGAATGATTATGTTGGAAAGGTTGGGAATTAATTTTTCTGTTATTTTTGTTCTTAATTTAGTGCCTTTCTGGAGGTGAAATAATAATTCGGCCATACAAAAATTCTAATTATGCTTCTGAAGAAAATACAATAATTGGAAATGTGGCTCTTTATGGCTCAACTTCTGGTTTAAAAATTTTCTCAATTTCTAAGTTTTAAATTTTTTATAGGGACAGCATTCTTTCGAGGATTTGCTGGAGAACGTTTTGCAGTGCGTAATTCTGGTGCTACTTCTGGCATCGAAGGTGTTAGTGATCATGGTTGTGAATACATGACTAGTGGACGTGTTATTATTCTTTGTGGAAGTGGGAAGAACTTTGCTGCTGCGTTGAGCGGTGTATTGTCAGAGAAACTTGAAGTAAATTTATAGATATTATATAAATATTATTGTAAACTTTCTTTGTTAGTCGTATTATGTTTAAAACTCGAATGTCGGTAATTCACTAGGGTAAGGTTTCAAAACTCTTTAGAAAATACAAATGTGATCTTATTCGGAAGAGTTTGACGAACCTAGTCGAATGACACCTAAATTAATCAATTTTGTTAATTGATAAAAAATTAAGGACTTAATTTTTAAGGACTCAAAAAATTTTTTTCTTTCCTTTTAAAAGGGAACAAAACAAAAGAGGAATGTTGTAGATAAAATCTTTTTTTTTAGCCATTTCAACAAAAAAATTTTTTCCAATTAAAACAAATAATTTAATCAACCTTTTTCATTAAAATATTTTCATCATTATTTTTATTTAAAATTTTTTACTTATACAAAATCGCTTAATTTAATTCAGACTAGACATGGATACTGATTTTGGTATCCGGATATTTACGGCGGATACAGACGGATATCCGCAAGCATTTCTATAATATTGTACCCATGTTCCAGTCTGATTTAATTAATTTAAAATTTATACTTTTATTATTTCAGAAGATTAGAATTATGCCACGTACAAGCTCTAATTCAAATAATCGACGTAGACCAAACAATGAGCAATCCCCAGGGCCACCCCGACGACAACTTCGAATTATAACTTCTCCAACACCTCCACCAGTAGAATCATTACAACAACCTATACAAAATGTAACAAATGCAACAATAAACACAAATCCGGATTCCCAGGTAGATTTGTGAATTTTCTAAAAATGTAAAAATATATTTATTTTGTAAATTTCTTCGGGAAATTTATGCATGATATTTTTTTCAGCGTTTTTGTCTTTCTATATAGATTATGTATTTCCTAAAACTAACACTAATATTTATTCTCTTGTTCAATTTTTAATTTACATATTTAGGTTCCGGCAAGTGAACAGATGTGGTCTTTGTATCCAGCACAACAAAATCAAGTAAATTTGATTTAATTTAAAAAAATCTAAAAAAACTTTAAATTACCATGGTTAAATTAAATGAAAGAAAAACAAAATTTGTTTAATTTTTTAAAAAAATTTCTTAAATTTTAACAATAAAGGTTGATGGAATGACTTCAACAAATGCGGCACCAATGCCAATGCCTGTAGCCGCAGCTCCAGCTCAGGTATTGTAATATTGTAAAATCCTAAAGAAAATATATATATTAGAAAAAATATATATTTTTATATTAGTTTTATTCTTAACTAATTAAAAAATACTACATTTAAAAAAAATTTTTTTTGTTTAAAGATTGTTGTAGTTGAAGAAGCGGATCGAATGCCTCAGGAAATAGCTGCGCAGGTAAATAAAATATTTAAACCAACAAAGTTTAATACGTTTAGGTAAATTAAAATTTTTTAAATTTTAATTTTCAAAAAATTAAAAAAAATTTGCAAAGTAATTAATTTATTTAAAATTTTTAATTAAAAAATTTTTTAATAGATTCTTGCAAAACGGCAGAATCGATTTACTGGGCATCAACCTGAAGGAGCCAGATTCATAACGTTAGATGAAACTACTGGCTGTACTGCAACAGATATGTTCATGTTACCGTGGGAGAAAGATCAAGTGTTTAGGTAATTTTTGAAAATAAAAATACTATTTTTAAATATTTTTCAAATTAATATTCAAAATTTAATTAACAAAAACTTTTTTTTAAAGCGAGCTAATCGGCGATGTGGTCTACAGTCACCGCGGTCCCACCGCAAAAAATGGGTGGGACCGCGGTGACTGTCATGTCCAAATAGGCCAGGCTGGTGAAATAGAGAAGATATGTGTTTTTGCCTGGAAACAAAATGCGAGCCGATTAGAAGGAGCAAAAATAAATCAAGTAAATTTTTTAAATTTAAAAAAAAATTTGATTTATTAAAATTTAGCGAGTTAAGCTGTGCAATCTTATTGTAGTTCCCGAGACAGGAGCTCGTCATTTATGGTCTGGAAGTGTGGACATAAAATTGCGTTTTGTTAGCTCCTCAACAATTGAAATACTAAACGCCGGAAATTTTGAACAACAACAAAGTAATTTAACTGAGCAAGGGCCTTCAAGTTCCGCCCGTATTTATCAACAGCCCCAAGAGGAAGAAGAAGTTGAATATGTAGGTTGACTTGAAAATTTTTAAATCTTAAATTTTTCAATTATAAATCTAATGTATTAACCTTATTCAATCTATTATTAATATTTATTTTAAAAAATACATTGGATTATTTAAAAAATTATTAAATTAAGAATTTCTCGATTATAATTTATTATGCTCTTTCTCGTAAAAATTTAGTAATAATCTTTTTACTGCTTTACAACTATAATTTAATTTCATCCTAATTTCTGAATTTATTTTTTATATTGCTTAAAATAAAATTTCATTGAATTATATAATTTGAAAAGTTTTTTATATTCCAATTATAAATTTAATTGTTTAAATAAATATTTTTGAAAATGCTTTTAATAAATTTGTCTTATTAATATTCATTTGTAATTTACTATTTAATGACTATTGAAGGAAGATTTAGCCATTAATTAAATTATTTGCTTAAATTAATTAAATAAATGATTAAAATTTAATAGAATTTAAATTAAAATTTGAATTAAAAATTTAATAGAATTTAAATTAAAATTTGAATTAAAAATTTCACTTGAACTAGAAATTTTAATTAAATTTAGTATTGAATTAAAGTAAATTTTATTATTTGAAATTTTTTTCTTTTGCCAATTTGAAATTTACCTAAGTATTTTGATTAAAATGTTTTTACTGAGTTTTAAATTTTAAATGTAATATGATACATAATCGAATTGATTAATATTGTACTTAAACTCAATTGATGAGAAATTGCTAATATTAAATTAATTTTAAATTAAAAAATTTATAAAAAATATAAATAAAATATTAGCTTAAATCTATTCGAATTAAGTATTTAATATTAATGCTAGATTCAATAAAATTTCAATTATCGGGATTCATATTTAAATCAATTTATTTTTTTAAATTTGAATATTGCAGGTTTGTTTAAATTTAAAACGATGTTTCTTAATAAATTGCCAGTTATTTAAGAGTATGCTAACGAATAATATTTTTAACAAAATTTAATTACAAGTTTTTTGTAATTTTCTAAAATATTTATATAATACATGCAACAATAATAATTATTTCAGCATCAACATCGACAAGTTGCTTCTGAAAATTTAAATGACTTGGTGGTGGTGGTAGATGATACGCCTCAAGTAATTATTTGTAATTCTTTATTTGAAAAAAAATTGAATTATTAAAAATTTATTATTTATAAATGAAAAATACTTAATAATTTTTATTAAAAAAAATCACTAAATACAAAAAATTTCAGCAAACACCTCAGCTTGCTAGTGAAATTTTAAATGAATTGGCACCAACAAATTCAACTTCTCAGAATTCTCCTTCCCATCAAGTAATGCTTTTTTAATTTTCTAAGTTAAAAATTCAAATACACTTAAATTATTGTTAAGAGTTATACTTTTTCAGCGTATGCCTACACAATTTGCAAATTCTAATAGCAACCAGCCAATTCAAGTAAATTTTACTAAAATAAAAATATTTGTCTTATTAATGCGTTGTCCGTGATATTGTGTTTTTTATTAGTTACGAAACATTTTGCGAACTGCTGGCCATACCCCACCCCCCTTAATCTACAGTGAACCTTCGGTATTTAACGATGAAGAAAGTCACCTGGCACAAATGTATAGAGGTGAGCGACGTATTGTTGATGTATATTCGGCACCTGGGGGGTTGAATTTAAGTGAACGGAATACTCTTATGGCCTCTCGTATTAAACTTCCAGAGGATTACATTCACAATCCTGAGGAAGAATCATGTGGTCCGTGTAACCGAGATTTCACCGCATTACAAAGTGTAATCGTTTTACCGTGTAATCATAAAATTCATAAAATTTGTTTTTGGGATTTGTCACGTAATTATCGTTTTTGTACAATATGTCGAAAGGATATGGCTCCCCAGGTTGAAAATAACGAGTAGTCCAACATTTTAAATATTTTTTGTGTTTGTATTGGACTCTCAGAATTTTCAATCTAAGGGGCATGTTTAGGTTAATTTAAAAGTATACAATTTTTTCAAAAAAATAAATTATTTCTATAATTTAAAAATTATGTTTTTATACTTTCTTAAATAGTAAAATGTTGAACTAATCCTTACAAATAATCTACTAAAATTGTAGTAAAACAATAGGGACGGAGATATTGGGCGTTTTTTGACAAATACACATTTTTCACGGTTACGTTGGTTCTTAAAGTAAAATTATTTCGAATAAATAGAGAATATTACTATCCAATCCTGATGCTTTAGTTCTTAAAATTAGTAGATTTACTATTTTACATCGAAAAATCCTAATATATCCGTCCCAAAATATCTAACTTCCTTTGAAATATTATTTTATTATCTTAATTTATTATTATTTTATACTTTGTAACTGACTTAAATTAAGCTTTTTATTTTAGCCTAATTTGCTTTTTAAAACTATCTGTTGCCTTAAATTATGAGAAAGTATTTTAGCCTTAAATTGTTTTTAATGTAATTTTAAATAAATATTATGAAATTATGTGTTATTTAATTTTTTAGTATTAATTATAATTAAGTAGTTAACCCCACACCTCGCGCTTAACTCCACACCGCCTTAAATTGCAAGAAATTATTTTAGTCTTAAACTTTTGTTATTTAATTTTTAATATCAATTATAATTGAGTAGTTAACCCGTCACCGTTGTGTTAATGGTAATTATAAGCTAAATAGTTTTGATAAATGTGACTGTTGTGCATGTTTCAGCGTTTGTGTGTGTGTGTTTGTATAAATAAAGATTAAAATTAATAATAATAATACTATAATAAATTCAGGACATTAACATGAACAATTACTTCACAATCGAGCGTGTTACTGATTTCAATTCTCGCTCTCGTAATACTTATGGCCAAATTTGCCATATACGATTCAATCCTCTTGAAGACCACCCGCGCCCAGATTTGGCTCTCACAAGCCTAATTGAACAACTTTTGGATCGGGTGCTCGCCGGAAGACCAGCACCACTTCGTGTTGGTCTTCAGGTGCAACCACCAAATTTCCATCACCCGTTTACAATTCCACTTCGACCACTTGGCCAGAATAATCCTGCCGCTTTGGCCGCAGCAATTGAACGACTGAACGAAATGTCTCAGGCCGGAATTGATTTGTTATCGGGAACAACAGTAACAAAAGTTGTGGGCGTGTGGCCATTAGATGGACAACGAACAAATAATCCCGATGGCCGATCTGGTAGGTCGATACTAGTCTTATATTTTTTATTTAAATATAAGGCTGCTATTTTCCTACAGGTAGTTGTGATTTGGAATCCGACCATGTTTTATCGTCCCGGTGCCGATCGATTGTGCGCGTCCACAATCCTAACGACAGATACTGCCTTGCTCGTGCAGTAGTTATCGGACTGGCAAAAATTAGGATGGTGGATCAAGGCATACCCAACGGACCCGCTAGATTTAAAGAATTTTGCCAACAACAACATCAACATTTATTCCAAGTAGAAAATTTAATGCGAAATGCAGGACTTGCATTTGGACTTATGGTATTTTTTATTGTTTAAATTAGTTTTTAAAATTATGACAATACTTTTACATAAAATATTTTAATTTAAGGAATATTCTCTCGAACATGTTGCAATCTTGCAACACTGGTTAAACATCTTTTTTGAAGATGAATATTATGTTCGTATTGTTGTTTTCCAAAAGGAACAACAATATAGAATAGTCTACAAGGGAGATGGAAGAGCAGCGCGATACAATTTATGTTTACTGCTTGAAAATAATCATTATAATTTTATCGGACGCCCTGAACAACTTTTCTCTGTACAACGCTATTGTATTGACTGTGAGCGTTCTTACACCCGATGGACTCACTGGTCGGGATGCAGTGTTGTGTGCCGATTTTGCATGAGATCAGGTGTCAATTTCCCTTGCCAGGTAATATCATTTTTATTTTTATTGTAATTTAAATTTAGATTTCTGAAAAAGTTTTATGCCAAGACTGTGGATTTGTTTTTCCTAATCGTTCTTGTTTTGATTACCATTTAATAAATAATGCACCTGAAGAATTTATTAGATGCGATAGCCGTACTTTTGTTTCCATTTGTCAAATGAGACGCATTTGTAATATATGCCATCTTATTATTTATCGGCAACAACAACATGAATGTCGACGACAACAACAACAAAATTTAATTTGTAAAAAATGTCGGGGGCCTCACACAGAGGAATTACCTTGTTATATTCAGCCATTAAAAGCTGAAGAAGATTCTGATGAAGAAGATCAACAACCACAAAAGAAACGACAATCTCCAATTCGTTTATGCTTTTTTGATGCTGAAACCAGCCAGGATGAAAATATACAAATTAGCTGCAATATTAATGGATATAAACATGTTCCAATACTTATAATTGCCGAGGTAATTTTTAAAAAAATTTTTAATGTTTAAAATAAAATTTTTATTCAGCTTTCATTCTAATAAAAGTTTTTAATCAGATAATTTGTGAGAACTGTATAAAGGCTGGAATTAAAATTGAAGATGTAGGCCAACGTGCCGTAGGATGCTTTTGCGGGAAGCCCCGAGGAGAAAGATGGCGCAATTGGTGTTCACCACCTTTCAAAAATGCCGCTGGCGACAACACCGCCTTTCCAAATAGAATTTCATTTAATCCTCGCCGTATGTTTTTCCATTCCTTCGACAACACCCATGAAAGCCCTGTGGATCAATTTCTTGATTATCTTCTTAATCATGGTTCGCAGCAAATGTTAACTATTTGTATAGCCCATAATGGTGGTAAATACGACTTTCACTTAGTTC